TGCACATCGCTGACACCGCCGGCGTGCTGCGGATGCTCACGCTCAACTGGGGCGGCGGCTGGGTGCCGGTGCTCGACCCGCGCTGCCTCGCCGACCAGTCCTTCAACCTGTGGATATGGGGCGTCAGCGACGAGGCGGTGCTCGCGTACCGCTCGTCCAAGAACGACCCGCCGTACCCAGCAGCGGTCGCGAGCGGCCTGCCAACGGAGCGCGTGCGGCTCTTTCTCCCGCTCACGCGCTCCGGCACGGAGCGGGAGATGGTGACGTGGGACCACCTGCTGCGGCGCGAGACCCGCACCGATGAGCTGAAGCGGCACAGCACCTTCTACACCGCCACCATCGCGAAGCACGACGCGGCACACGACAAGAAGATACTGGAGCTCTTCTCCAGCGCGCTGAAGGAGCAGCAGACGACGCGCGCCCTGGACCTCGCCACATACCTCGAGCTGCGGGACAACATCGATGTGTGCGCTAAGGAGGCCAACGCGCAGGGGTACGGGCAACTCGTGCAGAAGCTGATCTCACTGCTCGAGGTGCGCGTGAAGGCGAAGAAAAAGCGCCGCTGCCCCCTGCCGCTTGAGGGCACCGTCGCCAGCGACCGTGAACGCGACTTGCTTCTGCGGAAGCTGCTGGCAAAAGAGAATGTGACCCCCACTAACGCCACCACCACCACCACCAGCACCACTACCACTGCCAACAACAGCAGTGATCCAGGAAGAGCGCTGGCGCCCTCGCCCAAGAAGGTGACGTTTGTAGGAGACGATGATGATGAAAAGAAAGCAGCAACGGCAACAACAGCAGCAGCCGCTGCTGGTAGTGCGGCGGCGGCGGCGGCAAGTCCACGGCGGCGGCACATGACATTTGCGGACCAGCAAGAGCCCACACCGACAAGACGGTCGCTTGAGCTTTCAACGACGCCCACCAAGGGCAACGGCACATTGTTTCCTTCCCCTGCGAAATCGACAAACCCGTCCAGCATGGCGACCGGGAACGAACAAAGCCGCAACAACACGATTCCTACCACCACCACCACCACCACTACTACTACAACTGCTNCTGCTGCTGCTGTGAAGCCAACAAACCTGCTTAGCAAAGCGGCCGGGAATGGCCGCAACAGCAATAGCCCGCCTCCTCCACCTGCTTCCACCGGGAAGCCGAAAAATCCGTTCAGTGCGTCCGCCAAGACAACGATGATGCCGCTGGCGAACCCGGCGGCGCCGTTCCCACCGGTGGGACTTTGCACCAACACCCTTGTCCTGGGCGACTCGCAGTCGTCGGAGATGGTGGCCGACGCCCGGGAAGCGACACACTCGCACCCGCCACCGAAACAGCAGCATCAGCAGCAGCTGGTGCCGAGCGGGAATACGGCAACGAGCCCGGCAAAGCGCGGACCTGTAGTAAAAACGTCCTCACCGACGCCGGCGACCGTCAGCAGCAACATCGGCGGCGATGGTAGCAGTAGCAGCAGCAGCAGCAACGCTAGGCGTGTGTCTCCACCTGTTATCGTCACCGTTACGGAGCCCCAACGTGCAGCCTCCAACCGCTTCTGCACAACAGCTCAGCCCGTCGCGCCTGTGCCGCTCCCTGACGCTGCCGAAGTGGTGGTGGATCCGTTCATCGACAAACACGACAGCAACGGCCACACCGGCGGCGGCAGCGGCAATGCGTCCGTCACGCTCGACTCGCTGCTGGTGGATGTTGGACACGAGACGTCGCAGATTGGTGCACCGCGCAGCGCGTCCTTCGGGGAGGCCCTGCGGAAGCGCTACCGCGAGGAGGAGGAGGAAGAGGAGGAGGACGGCGGCGACGGCAACAGCCACGACGTGGCGCTTCCGAGGATTCGACTGTGAGCTGCGCCCGACGACGGAGGGTGGAGGAAAGACACGAAGAGCCACAGCGTGCCTCCNTGGCGCTTCCGAGGATTCGACTGTGAGCTGCGCCCGACGACGGAGGGTGGAGGAAAGACACGAAGAGCCACAGCGTGCCTCCTCCTCCACCCCCCACAAACACGAAGATCAGAAATCAGACAACAAAGCAAAACAACAACAACATAAATGAAACAGGAACACGGAGAGTGAGAAAAAAAAGTGTCTGTTGCAAACCCCCCTTCCTCCCCCCCACCAAAAAACAAACAAACAACAAAAACCCAAGATTAACCAAAAGACACGGATTAAAGACTTGCCATAGAGCGCTCCGGCATAGACACGCATGGATAAAATGAGTGCATGAAGGGAGTGAGTGTGGGTGGGCGTGCCGCCAGGGGGCCTCCCTCTCTCCCCTGCTTCATCAGCGCAGTACACACAAAACGCGCATTGCTCCAACCCCAACGTAATGCTTTGCACGTGCGGCATCTGCTGCGTGATGAGGTCTGTCTGCTCGGCTTCACATTTCCCCTTTCTTTTTTTTTTTCCCACTTCTTGTTGTTCCTGGTCAAGGTGCGTGTGTGGTTTGCGCGCTTCCTCTCTCTTTATCACTATATATATTTATATATCCCCCTCCCACTGCGTATCGATTCCCTCCCAACGCCATGCTCATCAAGCTGGTGTGTGATGATAGCTGCGGCTTCGTCAAACGCCTCGGCGCGGCGGAGATGCGCGTTGGTTGGGTCGTTGAGGAGGACGTGCCGCTGCGGGACCCCACGCACATCGCGGCGTTGAACGCCGCCATCAACAAGAGCCATCGCGAGACGTCTAGCAGCAGCGCCGCGATAGCTGGCGCTGCGGAGGTTACGGACTTCAGTGGCTATGCCCTTCTCCTGCCAACATCTGACGAGCCGGTCGACACCCAGCGCACGCCGAACGAACTAGGGCTGAGGAGCGGTGCGACGCTGCATCTTATGCACGAAGCAGAACGCGTCTACGCGCAGATGCCGCTCGCATCCCCCACCACGGACTCCACACAGCAACAACAGCCTGTAAACACTGAGGATGACACCGACGAGGAGAATGACGAGTCGTACGTGTCGCATGATATCGGCTGGTTCCCGTTCATGCTGCGCCCGCGCGAGGGTGAGCCGCTGGTGCTCCTCAACGACCCCTCCGCGCAGGTGCAAGAGCCGGATGCGGAGCCCGTCACGCAGTCGCTCTGTGAGACGTGCGGCACCGTTGTCTCCCACGGCGACGCCTTGCGTGTTTCGGTGGACCGGCACTACAAGCCGATGCTGATGCGGCAGGAGTTCCTCGAGGTGTGCATGGAGAAGCTCGGCGGCGGCCAGCTGCGGCGCTGGCAGACGCGCTACGTGCAGATGTCGGAGAAGTCAGTGGACTGGTTCGCCGAGAAGCCGCGGCCCGGTGTGAAGAGCCGCATCCACGGCCACCGCTACCTCGTGTGTGACGGTGAGTGCCAGGTGGAGGCCCTGATTGACCGCCCCGACCCGCAGCAGTACCCCAAGTGCGGCGACAAGAGCTTCTTCCACTTCGGCGTGGTCTTCCGCAACCCGCGCAAGACGTACCTCTTCCGCGTCACAACGGAGCAGAAGCGAGCGATGGTGCTTAGCTTCCTCGACACGTGCGTGCGACGGGTGACGGAGCGCGCACCGCAGCGCAACCCCGTCGTGTGGAAGCAGCGCGCCGACGCGTTCCTCGTCAACGCAGCAGAGCTCGGCGAGCAGCACTCCCGCAACCGCATGGATATCGAGGCGGTGCAGGCGAGCATGCGCGCGCTGGAGACGGAGCTCGCGGAGTTGCTCAAGCACAAGCCGAGGCTGCAGGCTGCGCTCGACACGCAGGCGAGTTGCGTGCAGACGCTGCGGGCCGATGTGAACGGCCACAAGGCGGGCGTCAAGCGGGCGCAGCAGCGCCTCCAAGCGGCGCAGATGCGTATTGCCGAGGAGGAGCGGCTGCTGCACGAGAAGGAACTTGAGATGGGCGACGAGATTCGCAAAGCCGCCATGCTGAAGAGCCACGTGCTGCAGCAGCACGACACCGCGGAGCAACGCATCCGCGAACTCCGCGCCCGCGCTGAGGCGCTACAGGAGCACGAGACCGCCTTGTTCCGCAAGTGGCGCAGCTTCGAGGAGCGGCACCGCGTGCCGCAGGGGCCGTCGCCGCGCAGCGGTCTGTACTCCTTCTCGGAAGGCGGCATCGGCATCCCGTGCGGCTCACCGCGGATCTCCACGGAGCTCGCGGCATCCGCGGCGCGACTCGCATTGAACACAGCAACAAAATCAACATCAACAACAGCAACACCTGCACCTATTGCATCGCCAATACTGCCCCGGCCGTCTGACGCCTCCACTCCTCTGCACTCCGCGCAGCGCCAGCTGCTGTACTCTGGCAGTCGTGAGCGGTCGACGTGAGGACGCTGATAATGTCCGTTTGTGGGTGTGGGGAGGGCGGCGAGCCCAACCGCTGCGCCGACGTGGGAGTGCGTGAGGCCTGGTGGCATTTATCGTTTTTTATTTTATTTTGTTTGCTGCGCGTGGAGAGTGACTCTCAACAGTTTGTTTGTTCCTTTTTCTTTTCATCTACTTTGAATTTTTGCTGTATCTCCGTAGTACTTCCTCTCTCTCTGCTCGTGGTGTGCCCCCCTAGCCGAGCTGCATGCGTATATAAATATATATATATATATATACAGTGGCATAAGCTCCGGTGTCGCTCTCTCTCTCTCTCTGTGTGTGTGTGGGCAGGTAGGGTGAGCGGCGCAGCGTAGGCTGACACGCCGAGTGTGGTTTATTATTATTGTTATTGTTATTGCTTGTGAAGTGGACTGCTTTGACCTGTGTGCCCTTTCCTTTCTTCTTGGGATATTGGGCAACTGCGCTATCNGAAGTGTCTGCACACCGACAAAGCTCGCAGTAGCCATGGCGGCCATGTGTCACGTTCGTGCGGCGGTGCGTGACGACATTGATGCAATGGTGCAGCTGCAGAAGGCGATGGCGCTCGAGACGGAGGGCCTGCGGCTCGACGAGGCCACGCTCCGCCGTGGCATGACGGTGCCCTTCGAGCGCGAGAACCTCGCACAGTTTTACGTCGTCGAGGACGCCGCAAGCGGCACCGTTGTCGCCATGATGATGACGACGCAGGAGTGGTCGGAGTGGCGTGCGGGGGCGGTGCTGTGGATCCAGTCGGTGTACGTCGTGCCGGCGTGGCGCCGCCGCGGCCTCTTCCGCATGCTGTACGAGCACGTGCGGCGTGTCGTGCAGGAGGACGCACACTACCAAGGGATACGGCTGTATGTGGAGCGGGACAACAGCGACGCCATGGCGGTCTACCAGCGGCTCGGCATGACGGTGGAGCACTACAACATGATGAAGTGGATGAAGGGCGACTTTTGAAGGCGGGCTGGGGAGGTGAGGGGCGGGCCGATGCGTGCGTGCGTGTGTGATTGGGGCGGAGCGAGGAGACGGAAGCACAGGAGAGAAGCACGCTGTTCTGCCGAGTCTGTGAAGTGCCTAGGCATTATCGGGCTGCTGTTTTGTTTTGTTTTGTTTTTGCTGTTGTTGAATTTCTTTATTGCCCTTGGCGTGTTGTAATCGTTCGCCTGGACGCGTCTCTGCTTTAAGGCGTGGGCCTGCGCTGCATCCCAGCAACATGAGCGAATCCACCATCCCGACTCACCGCAGTGCATGTCTCCCTTGTTTCTCTCCCCCTCTCTGCCTCTCTCTCTCCCTCACACACACACACACAGTTGCTCACCTGGTTGAACTTCGTTTGAAGGGAAAACAACCCCCTTAAAAAGAACACACAGGCACGCGAGGGCAGACAGGTGCAGGGCCCATCTGAATGGAAGTGAATGCCGAAGCAGACTCTACAACCACCTTTTTCGTTGCCTGTTTGCTAATCGCCATGGCTGTCGGCGGGCACATTGCCGACCGCAGTGGAGCTCCTAGCCACGTAATCAAGGTCCTTCTCATCGTCTTTGGGGCGGCGATGCTGCTGCTGTACATCACAGGCACCTTCGGCCTCATGGCGGACCTGGTAGGAATTCTCAAGAACAGTAAAACTTCTCTGCGCTCTGCTTCTGGCGTGGCAAAGTTCTGCAAAGACGTGCAGGAGCTCGCGGCGACGCAGTTGCTGCAGATGCTGCTGCTCATCACGGTGCTGTATTTGTTCCTGCAGACCCTCTGCGTGCCGGGCACCGTTGTGCTCAACGCGGCCACCGGTGCGGTGCTCGGCACACTCTTGGGCGTGCCCTACTGCACCCTGCTGGGCACTGTTGGGGCCTCCTGCTGCTACTTGCTGTCGCGCCTCGTGGGCGTGCGGCTCGTGGAGCGGGCCGACGCGCGCCTAATGAAGGGGAAAGGCCTGCCGAAGATACGCACGCAGGTCAGCCGGTACCGCTCCGACCTCCTCGTTTACTTGCTGTTCCTCCGCCTCACACCAATATTGCCTAACTGGCTCGTGAACTTAGCCTCGCCGGTGGTGGGCGTCCCGCTTTGCATGTTTGCGCTGGCGACAGGTATCGGCATTATACCACAGACGTACTTGTCTGTGCGCTTCGGCGCCCTCGCGCACGCCTCAACAGACGGCAACAGTCGTATTGTGACGCCGTGGGACACACTGCTGCTGGCCGTCCTCGGTGTGGCGGTGCTCGGGATGTTTTCGCTCAAGAAGCGGTTTGCGGCAGCTTCGGGGCATGATACAGGGATGCGGCCGTCATCGTTGACGCATGTGTGAGGTCTGAGCGCGTCGACGTGAGTATCTTCATCCATGGCTGTTTGTCTGAGCGTGTGTATGTGTGTGTGTGTGTCTACGTGTATGCTGTTGTGATATCTTCGACAAGTTTAGGCTGCACGTGCACCAGCCTGGTGTAGGTGATTACAGCATTATCAATGACAGCAACGGCTCCCCCACAGAGAGGAGGGGACCCATCGCCGTCG